CACACACACACACACACACACACACACACACACACACACACACACCCTGGGTGTCAGCTTCCATCAGCAGCATGTATGACTGTGACTTATAACCACAGCTATGCGATCATTTACACTCAGTGCAGGAGATAGCCAGAAGCTACTGTCCCTCTGTACTAGTGTGCAGTGATTTAGTGTCTGAATTCACAACACTTGCTTGGATGTATTAGTGTATATGTTTTTACACACCATATACATATAAATGAAACACTAATACATTAGGAGTCTTTCACAATGTTTTTATTTTTATTTTATCTTTTAAACAGTGGAGCGCAAGCTTCAAGAACAAGAAAGTACAATAAAAAAAGAAGAGTTTGTGATTAAACCCACATTTAAACCACATCAAAATCAGCCGCCCAGGTCTTATGATGAAGTAACTTATGACTGGCACGATCACACTGAACACATACTTGTTTTTTTTTTTCTTGTCATGTCTCAGTTAAACTCAAAATGCAAAGGTCACTGAATCTGGAGTTGCTTAGAGACCAGATCTGCTGTACCGGTTATCCTAACACTCTTTAATCGAATCAAGTGTGAAGCTCAGATGGAAAACAATAATTTGCCATCATTACAAAATATTAAGCAAGACTAATTTTGTGCAGTTGTGGTTAAAAAGAAAAACAAACGATTTGAAACGAAACGGCACCAGCTAGCTGAAAATAGCCTCTAGATTTATTTTTAAAAATCTAATTCTGTGTCTAATATTTAATTACACAATAATGAACAGACTGTTGGCACACAGACAAAAAAGGAAATGTCACAGTACACTAATGTACACTTTTGATGGTTATGGCACAAGCTCAAATACAAAAACAGATAGGACACAAATGCTGAGAGTCCGGAGACGTACAGTTTAATAAGTGTTATAGAACGTAATGTAAACATGAAAATGAAAAAAGGAAATAAGTGAATGCCGAACAGGAAATCTAGCGAGGCCCCCTCGAGAAACCGCAGTGTGCCATCTGCATTATTTCCAAATTATTTGTCATCTAATTTTTTTCCCTCAGCACCTTCAGAGAGCTGTCCAGCTGAAGCCTTCTTTTCAGCTCAGGTCATTTCAGTTCAGCCTGATTCACTTTAATTCAGTTTTCTACACTGGGGAATGACTCACACTCCTGACAGAAGACTCCCATTTACTGTCTGCCTGCATGTGTGTGTCCGTGTGTGTTTGTGTGGGGTTTTTTGGGAAACGTCAGCATCTTCTCCATCTCTCGTACTCGCCTGATGTTACACCGTCAGCATCACCTACAAGGAGACAGAGAAACAGGATTGTGGCGTGTTGTCAGCAACAAATCGGACTGTGTAAAAATAATGCCTCGTTCTTCCTCGCTCTCTCTCGTCTAGCATCATCAGTGTGATGTAATATGAAGAAATCACAGCTCTGGAAATTCTGCTTTTGAGGAATTATGGAGATAAGCTTGTTTCTTACTGTTAAACAATAAAGATGACGTGTATTTGTAAAAAATAATAACAACATTTTTCTCATACTTAATGAATTCAAATACTATTAGACTGTGGTGGAGGTGCAGCAGAGGGGTGAGGCGTCTTAGTCGAGTCAAGCCGCTGTTCTCGCTCTCACACACACAGACACACACATACACACACACACAAACACACACAAAATTCAATCATGTTTCTGCTGCTGCCTGGGGGAACTCACTGTGGAAACCTCACTATAGTGGAAAATCACCTTTTCCATGTTATTTTACACAGCAGCACCTACGCCACACACTCGCAGACACACACCTACACAGTCTGTCTGCATTTACACGAGGAACCCAAAAGATCTGATTTTTTTTTTTAACTCTTTGTGGTGCTGATCTCACACCGTCATGCCTGTCTCAGCCAGAAGTCAGCGAGGAATGAGATTTTTATTCAGCCATGAAGAAAAAAAACGTGCCTCAGAGAGTTAATGTCATCCTGTGACAATACAGGGTTTGTTGCTGTAAGCGTGCTTAGCTAAGGTTGCATCAACCTGATACGTGACCTTATCTTGAGTGGCCATGTTGAATCGCGGAATCCTGAATATACTTATATACAGACACTTTTCTCTATAAAGTTATTTGGCAATGAATGAGGAATAAAGAGCAGGGGGCAGTTAATTTTGTAGACTATCCACAATATCAAAAAATCTGTCTTTTATTAATTACTGTGGTCAAACAATCAATACTTTTATTTTACATATAAATATATATTTATTGTTAGTAGTAGTGCTGGTAGTGCTGATGTTGACACTGACATGGGAACCTTATTTAGCTCAGAGAGTAGAACAAGAACAACAGTACAGCAACCAAAATTCCATCTAAGGCCTGAGTTACACAGGTGTAGGGACCAGTCAGAGACACGCTGACAACAACCAGTTGTCAATGGGAAAAATGTGCAATTCCCGACCAGCTGGCGAGAGGTTGCTGGCTGCCTCTGGGTGAAACTGGCCACAAAGCCTTCTTGTGATCAATTTGGTTGCTAGCAGATTGCCACAGTTGCCCATGGTTTACATGGAAGATGCTAGCTTGTCTGCAAACACTTGCCAACTACTCTTTGAGCAGCAGTGATACTAAAAAATGCAACAGAATTTGGAAACGGAGAGCCTTCATAGTAAAAGTTGTGCCTTACTGCTGTAACCAGCACGATTTTACTTTGAACGCAAATGTTCTGCATTTCAAGTTTGTGGCACACTTGTCACACAGTAGTTGGCGAATGCCTGTATACTTTGTAACTTCCTATACTGATTTTTCTCTCTATAACATTCTGACAGGGAATTTTAAACTTTTTACATTTTTGAATGGCATGATCCCTTCCTAGCAATTTGTGTGCACCCTCATGCTATGGATATCGCAGGGAGAGCGATCAAACTGAGGGCCAAGAGCAAGAACATGGTGCTTGTTGCATGGATTCTAGATGGTCTGTCAGAATTCGTCATGTTGATTGCTCATGGCGTCCAAAATATCCTCGGGCCACTAAGAAATATCCCTGTGCTCCTGTTGGATAGCCTGACAATGAAATGGCATCATGTGAGGGTCTAAGATACAGTATTTATATATAATTAAACTTCACCTGAGCAACATTTGTTCATAAGCCATTGACACACACATACACACACAGTTTGTGCTACAAGGAACCCTCTCATCAACCAACCACATTACAAGCAGATGGTGAATATTATATGTGAAGTAGAAACATAATAACACCTTACATGAAAGAACTTTACTACAGAGTTGCTTCTGACTTAAAGGATAAGTCCTGTCATGTTCTGTTCTGCCGTTGCTTTCAACAAATCCCATGTGTCAGTGTAATCCAGTAATCATTACGTGTTAGCTATAGCTTTTTTAGATGTCATAGTGGTCCATTATTGTCCATTAACGGTTAAACAAATATCACCGGATCTCAAAATTTCATAACAAAATTAAAGTGCCACAGACAAAGTAGAGCAACTGTTGAGAGTAGTAAATATTGTTTTCTGTGGTCACTTCCCAGGAGGAACAGAAATTATGGGTGTATCAGTAGGCGTATTTGTCCTGAAGCATGAAGAACACAATGTTAAGTTTGGTATGAAATGTCCTCAGAGCAGTACGCCCTGGGAACTAAACTGCCACGGATCTATTAATGGTCACATACTCGCACTCCCCAAATGCTCCACCCTGAAATTTTGGCAGTTCACCAGTAGCTGTCCATCCGGTATGGTGTGCTAGTAAGGTTAGCTTAAGTTTTTTTTTCTGTAGAGCTAATTGCCCATTTTCATGTAGCACATAAGCTAAATAAGTTAATGATAAAGTCATTTTAGAGTCCATCGCCATTAGAAACTGAAGGGCTGCGCCGAACAAAACTGGGGTTTGTCAAGTTTTTCTAGAAACCTTTTTAAAAGAAGAGGTAGCTAAAAAAGAAAGAAAGAAGCTAATGCTAAATTAGCAGCAAACCTTTCAGAGCTAATCTGCACCAGAAGTTTTGTCAGCTTGCAAAATGCTTGTCATATTGTCGTACTTGTAATCTCTTGTTAAATATTTTACCATTGCTGACAAAATAAATTCACAGTAGTCTGCAGACAATGAAGTCTATTGTCTGTAGCAAGATGTAAAAAACAAAGGACAAAAGTGATCTGTACACTTCTTAAAACAAAGTTTTCTATTTTGTCAAACAGCTCAGGCTTTTCTTATTGTCAAGATAAAGAATTTGAGTGTATTAACTGTTACAATAAGAGCCATTAGACATTTTAAGATCTTTTTAAACAATAGGGAAAGTGCCATTTTTGCTTTATTTTTTCCCTGCTTTGCTGAAAATATACTGAAACCTGAACCCAGCATAAAGTTTTTGTATATGTTACAACACCATATTGGTCATATTGGGGAAATTTACATAAAAATATAAATAAATATTTGTTAAATATTTGTTTTAGAGTACACATCCACTTTTAGAACTAAAGTTTAAAGTAAGTAAGTTGGTTACACAATCTGAATTATGGCACTTTTGAATGTAATTAACTTTTATCTATTCTTTCCCATCGTTTATGTTGTTTTTCATGGTTTCTTCCTTTTGCTCTTTTTTAATCCCCTCATGCCAGATGGCTGCCCCTCTCTGAACCTGGCTCAGGGAAGAAGTTCCAGTTCAAAGGAACTTCTTCCTCCTCACTGTTGCCAAGTGCTTGCTCACAAAAGACCGTCTGAATATTCTTGCTCTAAAATTGTGTTTGTAATATGAAGTAGTCTGTTGTAAACGACTGCTTTTGAAACATAAAAACTGTATAAAGTATCTGGGCACTACTGCTGCTTACATACTGTATTGAGATCTTTGCTGGACAAATGTCATATGAAACTGGAAAACACCCGACTGAGAAGATGTGAACAAGCTTTGTGTGGGTGTCTGTCTGTCTGTATGGATCTGCAGTGCTCTGCCAATGCTACAGACATTTCAGAGCCCTGTGGCGTAATTCAGTGTGTCAGATACAAGAGGAAATAATGTGGTGAGCATCTCGTCGAATCGCTCCGGCTTAAACGGTCTCTCTCCAGAGTGTGTTTAGGAAATTAAAGGCCGGGGATTTTTTTCATAATTGTCTAGTTTATCATTTTATTACAGCTAGCTTTCCTCTGATGGGCTCCCTTTATGATTTATCAAATACAATTACTGCATGACTTATTTTAGGACCATTAATGTGTGCGTGTGTGTGTGTGTGTGTGTGTGTGTGTGTGTGTGTGTGTGTGTGTGTGTGGGTGTGTGTGTGTCAGCTCTGGTGTATTTAAATAGCATTAAGTAATTGGAAAAACAGGACGAGAAGCTGGAAAATCTAAATTGTCTTTGTGGATTTATACCCCCCATTCAAACACACACACACACACCTTCCTTTTCCTTTTCTCTCTGTTGCTTCTGAGTAAATATCCAAAAAGCTTCTATTTTAAATGTAAAATAAGAGAAAATTGTGTTTTAACTGATAGAAGCTAATCTGAAATAGTTTCATTCTTGTGCTGTGACAATATTTCGCAATATTTCTCAAGGAATGAGGAAAATGGGGATATAGAGAAACAGAGAAAGGAAAGAAACAGTCACAGAGAGAAAGAGGTTAATTCCATACCTTCGCCTTCCAGCTAATGAAGTGTAGGTGGCGTCCCGGTCACTTCAGCTAATTGAACAGTGGAGATTACAGCAGCCGTCGCTCCCCTCTGTGAAAAGAGGGCCGTGTTCATTAGTCGTAGCCATATAATATTCATTCTCTGTAGAAATATGTAGATAGTAATCTATGCAAAGAGCTGCTGGTATGATTATAAAGCTCTCAGCACGTTCTCTGGTAGCAATAACTCAAACAACCATGATTTAAAATACTGCATGTGTCTATGTTTAACTTTATTGCTTCGCACTGAATTTATGGGCCTTTATCAATTAGACGTATACTCAGAAGAATCTATTAATATTTATGTAGGGCAATGTATTAATTTTGACATTTAACAAACCAGTAAAAACAGTAAACCTAAAGTACATCGGTATCTGAGTGTTATTTGAATTATTTGAATGGCTTTAGAGAGCAATAACTCCTGCGCAGCTAGTAATAATGGGCACGGTTGATAGTCTTGGTAACACTGTGACAGACTTCACTGAGGCATGTCAGTGCAACTCTAGGCTGCCCTAAGTAAAACAAAGTCTATGGACGGAGAGTCATTGAACCCCCTAGCTGGAATATGTGTCAATTTAAAATCCTCAAGAAAGCAAGACGAGATGGCAAAGCTAGTCATGAAAGGCTCAGTTTAATTCAGCTTTATTTATATAGAGACAAATCACAGCAGCAGTCACCTCAAGGCGCTTTGTATAGTAGGGTCAAAAGCCTACAATAATAAAGAAGACCCCAATAATCAGGCAGGTAAGGTAGCAAGAAACTCAGGAGCAGCCCTGAGTTTGAGAGAACAGGTAGCACTATGCGGCGTCCTGTTGTATTCAAATTGATGGTGTATAAACTGGAGTTGTGGCCATCAGAGAGTTGTCCCGATTTTAAAACAGGCAGTCTTTAGTCACCGAAAACCTGAAACCAGTTGTCAATGGACTTGTCTCACATTATAATCTTGGCCTTTTTTTAATGCACTTCTTCAAAAGCCTTTCCACCACATTTGTAATAATAAAATGTTTATTTGTCATTACCAGCATTCTTCTATTTTCAGTCATTCTGGAATAGAAATTACGGCCATTGTCATCAAACCTATTCTGTGCATGAGAAAATTGATGCTGCTAATTACAAGGTATGTCTTTGTACCCATGTACAAAGATTAAGGGAATGTGTGTACAAAGCAATGTTACATAATTAAAAGCTGCAGCAATGACACTCGTGTAACCGTGAGGTTGATTAATGTCTCTGGTTTGTTGTGTTATGGTCACGAATTTCACTGTCGTCTTCACGCCATGTAACGCTCATGTGACAGGTTGTTAGGCTTTGATTTTGTAGTGCGGTCCTGTGATAAACGAGCAACATGCTATAAGCTTTTCTTACATGTACAGTGAGTTGTGTGACTAAAACGACCGTCTCGGTCATTTGTTTCTACTGTCTGAAAAGGCCCACGTGAGTAAGCCTTCCTAAAATGACATACAGTGCTGTTTCACTCCAAAGGACCCAGAGAGTCCACATCAGGAAGCAGGTGGGCTTGTGGTTTCACAAACACATCCGGCTCCAGTCTCGCTGCTTTCTACCATTTTTGAGTTTCACTTTTACTCCCTTGGTAAAAGCAAGGAGGTCCTGTAGGTCCAGCAGCTGGGGCCTTACTGTGTGGAGCTCGCATGTTCTCCCCATGTCTGCATGGTTTCTCTCTGAAAACTCTGGTTTCCTCCCAATAACATATATGGGGTGAGGTTAACTGGTGATTCTAAACTGGCTATAGGTGTGAATATGAGTGTGAATGGGCTCCCGGCTCTAGACATTAGCCTAATGACAGACTGGTGATCTGTCCAGGGTGTACCCTGCCTATCACCCTATGGCAGCGGGGATAGACTCCAGCACCCCCAAAACACCCTGATGAGGGCAAACAGAAGAAAATGAATGGACTTTGACTCCCCAGTAACTTCTATTGTCATTCACCATTTGGTTAGGTTTAGCTAGCAGCACTTCATGGTTAATGTAAGGAAAAGACTTTTGGTTTGAAGTGAACATACAATAAAATAAATACATAAATAAATTTATAAACACAACAAATTTACCATTTACAGAAACCTCCATTTAAAAAACCGCTAACGTACTATCAGAAATTTGCAAGGACATTTTCCATGTTTTTATGCATATTTTTTGCAGTGTAGGATTTAATAACATCAAGTATAAATGACAGCATGAGCCTTTTTCTGAGGGGAAATCTCTATTAATAATGGTGGAAAGTGTAATGAAAATTGCTACTAAAGCAGAATTACTGTTACATAACTGAAATGTTACTCAACTAAAAACACACTACCATTAAATAGAAAAAATACTTAACATAAAAGCATAAAATAACCTTCAAAACATACTAGGGATGTTTAATGTCAGGTGTCCTGTGGGTGTAACAGTTTAGAAAATGGATGGATGAATGTTTAAATAAAGTTAACTGAAGTATATCGTGGAAGGGTTTGTGAATCAGTAATGGAGACAGTTGTGAATAAATGAATGAAAAAATAATAATCAAGAACGTCCAGTGAGAGCAGAGTTTAATATACTCACAGCCATTACTGTGAATTGATGACAAACACACCAATTACTTATCTTAACTAGTTTATGGAGTTATACAGACTGCAGGTGTGTCCATGTGTGTGTGGTGCATCCTCTGCGTGCGTGTATTGACAGACAGAGAGAAACAGGAGGCAGTGGGCACGACCTGCAGAGGTGGGAGTGGGCCCGCGCAGGAGTGAAAGTAGGCAGACAAAAGATTTTAGAGTTAAGCAGGAAAGTTTGGATGGTCTAACGTGACAGTTTTCTTTTACAAACACAACTTTCTTCTGGGAAGGACAGAAGCAGGAATGTGTTGCAAGTTAGTAAAAGGCGAGAAAGAAGCACTAAAAGACTAGCACGGCCCACCTCACAGTCACAGTGAGTAATAAAATTACTCAAATATATGTTAGCGTGCAGTCTTAAAGGAATTATATTTAGGATCTAATAACACACAACTTTTGAACTTTTTTTGTCTTGGTGTTTTTTTGTCTGATAGCTTTAAAACTCAAACTGTGGCCCCTGCTCAGCATTTAAAGCAGTAAAATTGATTTTCTAGTGTAAATCATACTTTTGTAAGTTGTGTAAATTACAACTTGGAAAAAAAGCACAAGTACTGGCCAGAAATGATTTAATTGGAGAGGGGAAAATATTGAGGCATGCGCACTCTTTCTCCCTGTGAACTGCACTAATCAGCCTTCCCCACCCGTGCGTTAATATTTGCTGACTCACTATCGCAGGATTCATGTTTTTTAAGTCACCTGATGCCGAAGTCACTGAACAGAACTCAGCAAAAACTCGTCATGTCTTTATCAGGACAAAAACAAAACTCCTCTCTGCTTCTGTCACTTTTCTAACCCCACTGAACCCCCTCCTCCCTGCCTCTTGTTGCCTATCCAGCACAGTGGGACCATGTCTCTCTCTCTCTCTTCTCCCCTCTCTCTCTCTCTACCTCTCTCGCCCCCTCCCTCGGGGCAGAAGTAAACCACGCCTTGAGGCCCTGCTCCCATTGTGTTTTCTCTGCTACTTCTGTTTGGGGCCTTTGTGTGCCGCTAATCAGCCGTGGGGCCATGCTCAGCCTCGAGTGTGTGTCTGCGAGTGTGCGTGCGTGTGTGTGTGTGTGTGTGTCCCTTGCCCTCATTACGTAGCCACACTGGGAGGCCAGCATGGGAAGTTTCTGCTGCCCTCCATCACCCCCTCCACCACCACCACCTCACCCCCCTCTAGCTGTCCATCACTCACTTCCTCCCCCTATCCTCATCTCACCAACCCTTGGACCGGCCACAATTTTAAAATAAAACTGCACCTGCTTCAGTGGCTACATCAGAAAGCGATGCAGCAGTGGAGCAGAAAAACAACAGCGCTTTGTTCTAAAGTCCTCACAGTCACAGATATTTGCTGCGATGATTAGCGTCATTATTTTCGGAGCTGGAATGAAGCGATTTTGCGACAGGAACGGATTCTCTGTGCAAATCACAAAGTCTTTTCAACTGAATTTAGCGACAACAAAAGCGGGACTCCTCCACCCTAACACAAGGCTGAAAAAGTAAAAGTTTAAAGTGAAACTTCCCACTGCTTTTCAGGTCTTTTTTTCCTTCTTTTTTCAAACACGAGCACTTACAATACAGTAGGCAGGATGTTGTATGCTTATTTTATCTGCTGACGAAGTTAAAAAATATCTAACGCAGATCTTGTAAGAGAATCTTTTTTTTTAAACCAGGCTATAGTTGTTATGCTTTAACAGTTTAACTATCATGACTTGTTTAATAGCTGGTGAACATTCTGTGAACAAATATTGCCGTAATGTCACTGTCATCTGGGGATACAGTCATCTATACTGTCAAAGTCCTGGCTGTATGATTTCAGCGGGATTTATTAAGTAGCGTATTGTAATAGTAAAGAAAAAAACCTGGGGGTTGGAATAGTGTGCAGACCAATAATTAGTCATTTTATTTGTGAATGATTTAAGGCGTTTGAGCTTTTCTTCACAACATCAACAACGACACTTTCTTTTGTCTCACGTTCACGTGTTTAGCATGAGTCAACTGATGATGACTACTTCTCTCTTTTAAAAAGACAAAACTGAATTTCCAATTGTTCTTTGTGACAATCAGTTTGTTTGTTTCTTTTTTTTTTGTCTTTCTTTTCATAATTTATGTCTTTGTGTGTATCACTTGCCTCGAGACAAATTTTCTCTTTTGGACATTGAGTTAAGTTAAGAGGAAAATGTTGCCCTCGCTGACAAGTAGCCTACTGGGTTCAGTATCAGTGCAAAGTCCAAGAAAACAATCTCAGTTTACACAGCCCCGTTTGTTTGGCAGGTGGTCTTTACAGAGATTAATGAAAGTTCAGTGCAGTAACGCAAAGTAAAGAAAAACTGAAGAGTTATTTTTTTAGATTATCTTTCACTTTCAGTGTTACTTATACACATCAGTAAGCTGGACTGAGTGAACTGTCCGCTGCCCTTTAGTGCTCCTCCCCTGTCACCTGCTGGATGCCTCTCTACCCTCATGTCCCCCCCCCACTGCTCCACCGCTTCACCTCCTTCCCATCTACTTTCTCCCTCCTTCAAGTCTTCACTGTTCATGAAATGTCACCTGTTCACATGAAGTGTGTCTCTCTGTCTTGATG